GTGTGTGTGTGTGTGTGTGTGTGTGTGTGTGTGTGTGTGTGTGTGTAGGGGTGTGTGTGTGTGCCACAGCATACCCGTGGAGGTTAGAGGTCAACTTGCTCGAGTTTGTTCTCTCCTTCTACCAGGAATCAAGTTCAGGTCACCAGGTCTGACTGAAAGTGCTTTGAGCTGCTGAGCCATCTCACCAGCCCGAGTCCTCCTGTCTTAAAACAATGAAGAGGGCAAAACGGCACACACCTTTAATCCTAGCACTCAGGAGACAGACAGGTGGATTCCTGAGTTAGCCTGGTCTATAAATGAGTTCTAGGTCAGCCAGGGTTACACAGAGAGACCCTGTTGCAAAAGCCGACAAAACAAAACAATGAACAAAAGCTGGAGACGCAGCTGCCGGGTAGAATGAGCTGTGTTCGAGGCAGGGGTTCCACACTTAGCACCACATACAAAAAGAGAAGGGAGGGAGCTGGGGGAGAGACCTGTTACATCTGTTGCGACTTTAGCTCTTGGACCAACCCTGAACCGTGCAGATCAACCAAGAAGGCAGGGCATGGTGGCCGGGGCATGTAATCCCACCATTTGGGAGTTTGGGGCAGGTGGAGCGCTGCAGGTTTGTTCCAGACAGGGGCAGCCAGAACCGCCCAGCCCCTAAGGTTTTCTATTGTTTGTTAGGTTTGGTTAGATCTTGCTTCCAGACAGCCTGGTCACAAACTCACTATGTTGCTGAGGATGCACCTGAACATCTGATCATCTTCCAGCTACCTCCCAAGTGCTGCGATCACAGGTGTGCACGGGTGTGCACTATAGTCCGATTCTGTAGTGCTGGGGGTGGAACCCAGGGCTTCCTGCATACTAGACAAACACTCTGCCATATGAGTCACGGTTCACTTGCTTTTATTTGAGACCAGATCTCAGCATGTAGTCGTCCCCTCACTGTCCCCGGGCTGTATAAAACACTGTAACACACACATATCTGTCTTAGGCTCGGCATGTACCAAAAGTCTCAAGCTCTAGTTCCTGCTTTTCTTGATTTGCCTATTTTCATATGAACAATGTATTTCTTCTTTTGACTGGCTAGTTCCACCCCACATAGTACCTTAGTTTCATCCCATTTTTTTTTCTTTTTCTTTTTTAATGGTGTTTTGTCTATATGTATGTCTGTGTGAGAGTGTTGGATCCTGAGCTGCCATGTGGGTGCTGGGAATTGAACTTGGGTCCTCTGGAAGAGCAGTCTGTGCTCTTAACTGCTGGGCCATCTCTCCAGCCCTCTAGCCCCAATTTTATTTTATTTTATTTTTTAAGAAAGATCTCTATGTTGTCCTGGCTGCCCTGGAACTCAGAGACCCTCCCACCTCTATGTCCCAAGTGCTGGGATTAAAGGTGTGGGCTATGAGACCTGGCATCTTTCTTTTTTAAGACAGGGTCTTAGGGGCTGGAGAGATGGCTCAGCAATTAATAGCACTGGCTGCTCTTCCAGAGGACCCAAGTTCAATTCCCAGCACCCACATGGCAGCTCACTCACAACTGTCTGCAACTCCAGTTCCGGGAGATCTGAAACCTTCACACCAATGTACATAAAATAAAGTTAAATAAATTATTAAAAAAAAAAAAAGACAGGGTC